AAAATCCCATACACCTCAGAGAGGCAGCTAGTTACTTCCCTTTACACTATTTATAGAGACCAAAGGCAACTAGTTGTCTACGTACTAATACTTTTTAAGTTACCGATCAAAAACTAAAAGAACTCTTTAAAGAGTTATGCATAATGTAAATGTAAAGCTATACTGTAACCCTTGCCCTTCATCCCTGAGGTCACAAAGTAGTAAATTTCCGCACAGCTAGCTTTTGCCCCCATTGCTCTTTATGAAGAAAAGATGGATCTAAACACGCCTCCCAAGAGGTAATCTGAACAGGAGCCAAAAGGCTTGCATTTTAATTGGGTTCTTCCTTGAACTCAAAGATTCTAAGGGTTCTTCAATTCACTCCATTGAAAAGTGTGGGGTGTATGACGATTCCTCAAAAAGCAAAGAGAATTATCATATGATCCAGCAACCCCATGCCTGGGCATATACCCAAATGAAATGAAAGCAGGGGTTTGAACAGATATCTGTACACCCATGTTCACAGCAGTGTTATTCACAATAGCCAAAAGGTGGAAACAATCCAAGTGTCCATCAATGGATGAATGGATAAACAAAACATGGTATGTACATACAATGGGATATTCAGCCTTAAAATGAAGGAAATATTGACACATGCTACAATATGGATGAACCTTGAAGATTATATACTAAGTGAAACAAGCCAGACACAAAGGACAAATACTGTATGATTACACTTACATGAGGCACCTGGAACAGTCAAATTCACAGGAATGGAAAGTAGAATGGTGGTCGCCAGATATTGGGGGAAAGAGAGAAGGGGAAGTTATTTAATGAGTATTGAGTTTCAGCTTGGGAAAATAAAGTTCTGGAGATGGATGGTAGTGATGGTTATACAACTACAGACATGTACTTAATGCCACAGAAAATGTCCACTGAAAAATGGTTAAAGTGGTAATTTTATGTTACATTTTATCACAATAAGACAAACACACACAAAGTGGGGTGGTTTTAATTAATTCAGTGAATTTCAAACCTTGGCTGCACATTAGAACCTCCTAGGGAGGTTTTTAAAAGTATCTATTCATTCTCAGTAGTGGGAGGCTAGACGCTGTGGCCCCTGACGTGACGTACCTGGAGGAAATGGTCACTCGTGAGGCATTCACGCTAGGAAACTGGCCAGGACCCCTCAGGGGATTCAGTGGCATGGAGCTGACAGGGAGAGGGGACCACTGTTCCAGCCTGGGGAAGATCTTGGGGCACAACAGCCAAAGGCAACGTGAGAAACTTCACTGCATTCTAAAATAAGGCCATAAAGTGCAGTTGGGGAAATCTCAGCATAGAATTTATGTTGAACAACGGAACCGAACACACGGTCATGGTGGTGGTGAGCACAAGGCTGGGGAGGAGAGAGTCTTTCTCGGTAAGTGAAATGTGTGCTGAAGTATTTAGGGGTGAGCTGTCCCAGTATCTGCAGATGGAATGATGTGGCAAGATGTTAACAGTGGGTGAAGCTCAGTGAAAGGAATGGATGTTCTTGAATTTTTCTTCGAGGTTTTAAAGCTTGAAAATTTTTTAAATAAAAAAATAGAAAAAGCAAAATAAAAATACCTACACCAGAGCTCTACCCCAACACAAACAGGAGATATGGGGATTGGTATCCAAGGAACCAGCGTTTTCTTGGTAAAGCTCCCCTGCAGTTTCTAGCCAGTAAGCAAGTTGACAACTATGAATTAGACGATCTCTAAACCAAGATGTGATATCATGGCGGCATGGACAGTAACCTAGGAGATTGGCCTGCTGCTGACACCAGCAGCCCTGGGACCTGCTCAGTCAGCCCGGGGCTGAGGCAGACACCACCAAAGTGACATAACTCGAGGACCCACGTGGGAACTTAGCCTAGTCCAGCTGATTGCAGTGGCCTCTTTTTTTGGAGAGGTGAAGAATATGGGGGGTTGATAGGAAATTTATATGAAACTCACTAGAATAAGGGGGAAAAAGACTGGTAGAAAGGGGAGGGAGGCAAAATGAATAATCTGAAAATAGGCACATGAGACACAGCTCAGGTTTGCTATTTCTAATGGCTCCACCACTCTAGCTGTTCTTCTCAGTTGAGCTTCACTAGCCCATGAAACTAAAGCTACATAACTGTCTAGAAGCAGTAAGGCCTGAGGGATGTCAAATGACATTCCGTCTCATCTTGCTCACCTTCCTTTTAAAATCCCACAAGACTGGGTTGACCAGAAGGCTGGCTAACCCTGGTAGCAAAGTTGAACTCTATAATCTTAAGTAGGCATAAAGATCAAGACATATTTCGAGTAATTCCTTCCCATCTAGATAGCATTAAGGACCCATGGACTTTCAAATCAGCAGCAGCAGCAATGACCAACTTAAACTTGGAAGCCTAAAAAAGATAAAAAGAACACTTGGCAACTACAGAGTGACAACTCCCCAAAACACTTGTAAGATGGCAAAACATGCAACACAGAAACCTAACCCTCTCCCTGCCCTCTTTGGAAACAGCAATAGATCAGGTTTTTTGTTTTGTTTTTAGTATACACACATCCAGGCATGGTGGTGTGTGCCTGTAGTCCCAGCTACTAGGGAGGCTGAGGCAGGAGGATCACTTGAGCCCATGAGTTTGAGATCAGCCTGGGCAACATAGTGAGAACCCATTTCTAAAAAAATGAATAATTTTTAAAAACTATACATAAACAAAGATTTGATCCCCACCCAAATAGATAGATTGAACTCCATTTCCATATAAATAATGAAAGAATTTTCTATTCTAAAGAGAGAATGAGGCTGGGATTTTAAATCCACCTCCTATTAAAGTGGGAAGGAAAAGGGAAGGAGGTAGAAACACAGAAAAGGGGCAGTGGTGCATGGGGGTGGTGTTACTGTCAACACCCCCGCCACTCAGGTGCTGGCTCCATGGAGGCACATTCTGAGTTTGTACCTGTTTCTGTGTATTAAATCATTTAACCCTTTGAGTACACATTTTCCCATCCTCATTCTACAAATGAGAAAACTGAGGCACAGAAAAATTAAAGTAACTTGCCCAGGTTCCACAGGGGATGAAAGCAAACCTGAACTCAATGTTGGATGTTTGCATAGCACTTAAACTATTGAATTTATCTTTTAATTTGACAGATAGTGGCAATCAATTCCTCATTTAGACAAGTAGTATAGTATGGACACATCAAGCAAAACCTGTAATAACAGCAAATATTCACTGAGTGTTTTCTCGGTGCCAGGGTACCAGGTTACAGGCTAGATACTGAACCTAAGCATTACTTAAGTATTTGAAATATATTTTGTTTCACTCACATGCAAATCAAGTCTATTTATTCACAGATGACTATAGGAAATGCATTAACACTACTTAAGATTGAATTCACATTGCCAATAAAACATGAGAATCGAGAAAAAATTATCAAGAATCCACCCTAACTTTTAAAAAAATGATACAAAAATGTCTTTCTTCAGAGATTTAGTAGCAATGGGGAAAGGAGAACAATTAAGCCTTCTATTTTGGAGATCCCATGCAAAAAAATCATAAGAATGTCCTATCTTTTATCAATAGTAAAATAAACATATCTGTACTTTCCCTGCAATGTGTGGACGACCTAGATGCACTTATATCTACTAAATATCTCTGCCAACATATTCAATAGTTCTAAAAATTGTCAATAAATATCAGAATAAGTGTAAAACACTAAGTTGTCCTGGAGAGAAAAAAAAAATGGAGGAAGAAGACATCCTTCAATCCCTGCTGTCCAGCACCACCGCCCCCAAAGGATTAGAGGCCCAGAATTGCCAGACTTCAGGCCTCTCTTCTCCCCAAACTCAGCCTTCCCAATGGCTCCTAAAAGCACCACCTCCACCTAAAAATTCCTCAGAGTCAGTGGAGATTTTAGACTTTTCCTTAGGTCTTAGTCCCTTTTGTGCTGCTATCACAAAATATCTGAGATTGGGTCATTCATAATGAACAGAAAGTTCCTCAGAGTTCTGGAGGCTGGGAAGTCCAAAATCAAGGGGCCAGCACCAGGGAGGGCCTTCTTGCTACATCAGAACATGGTGAAAGGCATCACATGAGAGAGAAGGGGACCACAGTCATCCTTTTATAGGGAATCTACTTTCCCAATAAGAGCACTAATCGATTTGTGAGGGCAAACCCTGGTGGCCTCCTCACCTCTCATCAGGCCCCATCTCCCATTACATTTCCAACACAGGAACTTTGGGGGACACATTCAAACCACTGCACCCTCCAAAACAACCTTAAAGCCATAGCAAAATAAACTCTTTAAAATAAACACAAACCTGTATGGAATGTGGTGTGTATGTGTGCTCAAATCAAACACATAAGGGATACTGTAAATAAAGCATTCTGTAATGTGCCCATGTGTTTTCACTTACTTGACAAAAACTTTCAAGCACTGTGAAGAGAGTAACCATGCTTTAGAGATGTCTTTGTACACTTCTGATGCTCTAGTGCACCAGAATCACCTGGAGGGCCTGTTAAAACTCAGATTGCTGGGCCCTACCCCAGAGTTTCCAATTCAGTAGGTCTGGGTGGGCCTGGGCATGACTTTCCAACACATCCTCAGGGGATGTTCTGCTGGTGTTGCAGTTCCAGAACTGTCCTTTGAAACCCACTGCATTGACTGAAGAAACAGCTATCAGCTCCTTTTAGGCACCTTAGCAAGAAGGGCCATATGTAATACATGATTATAAAATTAAAGCAGAGTCTACTTTGAACTTAGTAAAATCTTGTAGTCCTTGTAGTTAAACGGAGTCTAACTATCTAAAAGATCTTCATGCAACTGCTAACCAACTGGAAACATGGTCTAAGCCAGAGGTCCCCGATTTTTTGGCACCAGGGACTGGTTTCATGGAAGACAATCTTTCCACAGACCAGGGGCCAGGATGATTTTGGGATGATTTAAGCGTATTACATTTATTGTCCACTTTATTTCTATCATTATTACATTGTGATATATAATAATTATACAACTCACCATAATGCAGAATCAGTGGGAGCCCTGGGCTTGTTTTCCTAGATGGTCCATCTGGGCAGTGATGGGAGACAGTGACGCCCGAAGCATGTTGCCTATGTCCAGTCAACTCCATAATCTCATTTTGGCTTCTGTCACTGCAGAAAACCCTGCTTCACAAAGATAGAATGTTGGAAATGGAAGCAGGCTTTTCAGTGCTTTATGTGGTAATCTCAGGAAATTCCGCCTTGACTTTAATCCAGAACATATGGAGACCTGAAGTTGTCTCAACCATCCTTTTTAGGCCACCGTCATTTACAATCTCAAGCAGTTGATCCTCTTCTAGCACGGACAAAGACGATTCACCTGGCTTATTCACAAATGGGTCGCAGATCTATTCCTTCCCAGTTTTGGGGTCTTTTGTGGTTGGGAAGTAACACTCCAACTCTTGAAAGCTGAGATAGATGATCATGCACCAGCTGGGAGAAAGAAGGCCCTGGCTCAGTCTCTTTCAAAACCTCTGCTAATCTTTGAAACATGTCAAAAATCCCAATGTTCACTCATCGCCCCCATTAATTTCAGTTTGGCTTTGAATGCAGCCACTTTATCTGCCAACTTGACACAGTTGTCCTTCTCCCCTGAAGTGACAGGTTGAGTTCATTGAGCAGGTTGAACATGTAACACAAGTAAGCAAGTTTTGTGACCCATTCTGTGTCACTACAATGTGCTGCCAGTGGTGACTGTTTTTCTAAAAAGAAATCTCTGGAGTAGCTCTTGTAACTCAAAAATTCTGGCCAGTGATCTACCCTTACAAAGCTCATTTTTGTGTCTAAGAGAAGACGTGTGCTCTGAGTCCATCTCCTCAGAGAGCTGTGCAAACAGATGTGAGTTAAGGGCATGTACTTTAATGTGGTTGATAATCTTAATCACATCCTACAAAACATTGTTTAGGTGACATTTTTCGGCCAGCCAGTATTTCTCTATGGATGACACAGTGCATAGACCCACATTCAGAAGTGACCTCCTTGACTGGAATAGTGAAACCAGAAAGCCATCCAGTCATGGCATACTGTTAGTGAACATAGCAAAACAAAATGACCAATTCAGTTTTCCTAATGTGTAATCATTCATAGACTTGAGCAGTTCTGCAGCTGTGGTGTTGGATGGCAACAAACGTGCACATAACATATCCTCATGCACATCCTCCTGAAAAGTATATCCACAAAAAATGAGCATCGTTGCCTTGTTGTCAACATTGGTAGACTCATCAACCTGGACTGCGTACCATGGTGACTCAATGATCCCTAACAACTGTGCCTCAAAATCCTCTGCTATTTCATCAACTCATCCCGTTATGGTGCTAGTCGAAAGAGGAACAAGTGCCACCCTTTGAACTGCAGCCTCTCCTAAAAGTTCATGGCAAATATCCTTGGCAGCAGGCAGGATCACCTCTTCACCAGTAGTAAGGGCTTCTTACCTTTAGCAATGCAGTTAGTCACTAAAAATGATGCTCTCTGTGTAGACACCTTTGATGAAGCCATGGCCTAATTGCTTCTGTTCATTGTGTTCACATTATTTTTTTTAAAAAAAAACTCCAAAGGCTTGCCTTTTAATGCAGGATGCTTGGTCTCCATGTGGCAAAGCAGTTTGAAGGTTTCATGGCTCTGCTGGATAGCCACATACTATATAAAGTAGGCTTGGAGAACGTGAATCACCTGTTGCAATGAACTCATAATTTAAGTAGGACTCTTGGTATTTTCTTTCTAATGCAGCTTTCATTGTGTTGGCAGTCTTAGAGTCTTCTGCTGGCTCATCGTTGGGTCTCGCCCCCTTACCAAAGCAGCTCTCCAGTGGCATTTGTTTTCAACTCATTTTTGTTAGGGTTAGCTTATGGGCTTACCAGAACTGTGACTGAGACGAGCGTGCAGTGCAGGAAAGAGGTGCAGACAGAAGTGGTAAATAAAACAATGGGCAGTCCACATGCAGACTAAAATAAGTGTCAGATTCTGATTTAAAGCCTGCCACCATATGCTGCTTAATTGTCACTTGCCACTCACCGATAGGGTTTTGATATGAGTCTGCAAGCAACTGATTTATTCTGATCTCTATGTAGTCAAACCTGTCTGCTAATGGTAATATGTATTTGCAGTCGCTCCAGAACACTAGCATCACCACCTCATCTCCACCTCAGATCATCAGGGAATACATTCTCATGAGGAGTGCACAACCTAGCTCCCTCACATGTACAGTTTACAGTAGGGGTCTCACCTATGTAGAATCTAATGCCTCTGCTGACCTGACAGGAGGCGGAGCTCAAGCAATGATGATTCAAGTGATGGGGGGGGGCAGCTGTAAATATGGATGAAGATTCACCTGCTGTGCAGCCTGGTTCCTAACAGTCTGCGGCCAGGAGGTTGGGGACCACAGGTCTAAGTCATTCTTCAACAAAAGGGATGCTGGTCATTGGAGAACACCAAATCTCCAGTGGAATTTGAGAGGTAAAAATTGCCGCAAGTAATGGAGAGAATGAGGACAAAGAGGTGAGAAGCCATAACCCCTAGACGATTTAGTTGTCAAGATCCCTATCCTGCTCTATACCTTTTTCCTTACCTGTTCTCAGAGAATTTGCCTATCCTGAGCAAAACCATCTGGCAAAGCTGGCCATCCAAAAGATATTCCCAAACCCAGAAGGCTCGCACGGGGGCTGCTGAGCAGCCAGGAGAGGGGGCACCAAAACCTCGCCTCCCTCCCCCACCTGCTTCCTCACTTCACTGGACCACTCATCCAAGAACATCTAATGGAGTTCTTGGGTTTTGTTTTGTTTTTTTAAGCATCGCAAAACACAAGAAGATACTTCAATGAAGGGCTGGATCAAGCAACTCTCCTCAAGACAGCTCAAATTTCCCTTCATTGCCTAGAAAAATAAAGGCTTCCATGATATGTCCCCTTGGGGCTACACCTCCCTTCCCCAGCATCTACCCATACACCCTAAGCATCAACCCCACCAAACAACCCGCATAAAAAATACACTAGAATGCCTTGCCTTTTGGTTTTTCCTCTGACTTTCTTCAAGGTCATGTACAAATTCACAACCTTCAGGAAGCCTTCCCATTGCCCCAGTCCAAATCCACTGCTTTCTCATCTTCACTTCCACAGAACCTAGGAGTACACTAAAAGTATAGGCATTATTCCTTAGCTCCCAGATTCTATTGTAAGCTATAACTAAGTTCCCTTCATCCACACTGCTCTGTACATATCAAGTGCTCACCTAATTGAAATAACTACAGTTTATTTAGCATTATGTGCCAGGAACCACATCAGCCGCCTCCATCGATATATCATTTCCCCACACCTCACGAAGATAGGAGGAAACCCCAGGGCTACTCAGGCAGGCAATGGAAGTCAGAATTCAAACCCATATCCGACTCCAAAGCTTTTGCCATTTCATCAATACTATACAGCCTTTCAAGGGAGAAAAATTAGAGCAGTAAAGTAAAAAAATATCAGCTCATTGGTCAGTCACCCCACTACAAGTTTCTGCCTAATTTCTCATCGATCTCAGATTTTAAGGCATGGCTGATATAAGTATTAAAGTGTTTTTTTTTTACTAATTATCCTAATTGGAATCATTGGCACATGCCACTCTATTATTATGGAAAAGCATTTCTTTCACTTCAGTGCCTCACAGTGAGAGATGAAATGTCTCTATGTTTGCATAAAATCCTTTGATGATGTCTGGATGTACTCTATAAAAAGCCCATGTATTCGTCTGTATTTTTTCATGGGGACAAATAAAGCAGCAAGATCAACTTTAAAGAACATCATGCATCTATTTTTAAAAGAGCATGCTATCAAAATGGCTATAGGTTTCTGCATTTTGATAGAATCATGACAAGCACCTGAAAAACATAGGAAGCAGGGGTGAACCCCCTACAACACACAAGAGGCCAACTGGAATAGTCAACAAGAAGGGGCTCCGGGCCTGACACTACTGCTTCCTAGTTTCCCTGCCAGCAGCTAGCTGTGTGGCCTTTAGACATCATGGGTTGCACTGTCTTTGTGAAAGGGGGAAACCACTGGCCCTCTCAGAGGTAACAATGAGCAGATAACAACACAAAAAGCACCCAGCACTTTGTAAGTCACACACCTTGATTCCATAGCCCATGTTGAACTGCCTGCCCTCTAACAGTTACCTGACCCGATCAAATCAGAAGTTGAGTGGCCTTTGTTTCTCTTTTGGTAACCATGAAAACGAAGTAAGCATTAGATCTGTTTGTACACTAGTCTTTTAAATAAAAGGAACTGTTAAAAAACTGTGGAGTGGGAGGGTCAGGGCAATAGTAAATCACTGGTTCCCTAAAGCAAAAAGGGTTAGCTAACACCACAAATAACATTAAACTCTAAAACAAACTTGGTATTACAAGCTTAAACTCTCCCAAACAAGTCATTTTGGCTAACCACATGTGTAATTAAAGTTAAAAGCATACTAAAGTAACACTTTAGCTGTTGACCTTAAAGATCCTTTTGAAAAGCTCCACCAAAACACCAGCGCATGAAGCAGTGGCCTGACTTTTTGTCTACTAAAGACAGCATCACATGGCCACATCGCACATATCCTTACGTGGTTGAGATGAAAGCGCTGATAGAATGTGCGAGCCCATCTACACTAAACACAGATGTATTCAATCCTGTTTTACACAGTTGGGTTTAACTAGTTCAGAACTTGAATTTCTTTGTCGTAGGTGGTCACTGTAAAGGGATAAGAGTTTAGCTGCAATGACCACCCCCACTTACCAGGTGATTTAGAAACCCCACTGCTCAGACAAGAGCATTACTCAAAGGCTCACAGCATCAACCAGAATCATCTTCCCTCAACACACACCCACACTCACTGGACTTATGCTGCACTTTTAAAAGAAGTGAACAGAAAAACATTAATCACTATTTTTATAATGTGTCTTATGATAGGAAGGCTCTCGATCTTGCAAAAGGTGGAAAACCACAGTTCTTGTCATATGCACAATCACTGGTGATCCACAGCAGGTGCTTAAATGCTGATTGGATTATCAGTGGTGAGTGAAATCATCTGTCTAGTCACAAAGCCCCTCTTTTGCTCTCACTGGCCTTTTAAACTCAAGTAACGAACAAAACTTGACAGATCATCGTGGCAATGTGTTTTCAGAATTAATTTGGCAAATACACCATAGTTTGCTGCAACAGCATAAATTACGTGCAAATCATATGTAGGTATAAATGTCACTTAAATGTGGTTTTGAGCGTAAAAAGATATTCTGTGTATAACTATGTCTACATTAGTACACCAGCTACTGACTCTTGCATCCCTTCCCTTCAGAATTGATTACTGAGCCAACATTTCAGCTTTGTTCTGCATTAATATTACACAAAATAACTTCACAGATTGCAGGAAGATGTGGCCAACAATAACAGGAATTAAATAGAAAGTCTATTTAATTTTAATTCAGTGCTCCTGTGTGCAAACCAGAA